ATTCTTATATCTGACAAAGTAGACTTTAAACTAAAAACCATAAAAAGAGACAATGAGGGACACTACGTAATGATAAAAGGATTCATCCGTCTAGAAGACCTAATAATCATAAATATGTTTGCACACAATGTTAGAGCAGCCAGATTTATAAAACAAACGCTATTAGACCTAAAGAAGGAAATAGACACTAATACCATAATAGCAGGGGACCTGAACACCCCACTGTCAATATTGGACAGATCACCAAGGCAAAGAATCAGCAGAGAAACACAAGTTCTTTTTTTTTGTCTTTTTTCCGTGTCCGGCAACGGATCGCAACCCTCAGTGTTGCCCCTGTACCGGACCGGGGACCGGCAACGGGACCGCAACCCTCGGTGTTGCTCCCGCGCCTCGCTCAGCCAGTGAGCGGGAACCAGTCTGTATGTGGGATCCGAACCCTCGGGCGGGAGCACCGCCGCACTTCCCAAGCGGCGCACTTATCCAGTGTGCCACCGGGCCGGCCCCAGAAACACAAGTTCTAAACAACATTGTAGACCAATTGGACTTGGCAGATATCTACAAAACATTCCATCCAACAACCTCATAATATTCATTCTTTACATGAGCACATGGATCATTCTACAGGATAGATCACATATTAGGTCACAAATCAAGTCTCAACAAATTCAAAAAAATTGGAATTATCCCATGTATTTTTTCAGACCACAATGGATTAAAATTAGAAATTAATAACAAATGAAATTCTGGAAACTATACAAACACATGGAAATTAATCAGCATCGTACTTAATGACATATGGGTCCAAGAAGAAATCAAGCAGGAAGTCAAAAAATTTATTGAAACTAATGAAAACAATGATACTTCATACCAAAACCTGTGGGATACTGCAAAAGCAGTACTAAGGGGGAAATTTATCGCATTAAATGCTCACCTTAGAAGAATGGAAAGATGGCAAGTGAACAACCTAACACTTCACCTTAAAGAAATAGAAAAACAAGAACGATTCAAACCTAAAGTTAGCAGATGGAAAGACATCATTAAGATCAGAGCAGAACTCAAAGAAATTGAAACCCAAAAAACAATACAAAGATCAATGAATCAAAAAGTTGGTTTTTTGAAAAGATAAATAAAATTGACCTACCATTAGCATGGCTAACAAAAAAAAAAAAAAAGAGAGAGAAGATTCAAATAACAAAAATTTGGAAATGAAAAAGGTGATATTACAACTGATTCATCTGAAATACAAGGAATCATTTGAGACTACTATAAACAACGATATGCCAACAAATTTGAAAATCTGGAGGAAATGGATAAATTTCTGGACACACACAAGCTCCCAAAACTGAGCCATGAAGACATAGAAAATCTGAACAGACCAATAACAATAGAGGAGATTGAAGCTGTTATTAGAAAGCTTCCAACAAATAAAAGCCCAGGACCAGATGGATTCACAGCAGAATTTTACCAAACATTCAAGAGGAATTGACACCAATTCTTTCCAAACTATTCCAAAAGATTGAAACAGATGCAAATCTCCAAAACTCATTCTGTGAAGGAAACATCATCCTGATACCAAAACCAGGTAAAGATATAACCAAAAAAGAAAACTACAGGCCGATATCTTTGAGGAATATAGATGCAAAAATCCTCACTAAAATACTACCTAACAGAACACAGCAACACATATGTAAAATTGTTCACCACAATCATGTGGGATTCATCCCAGGGATGCAAGTTTGGTTCAACATATGCGAATCAACAAATGTGATACACCATATTAATAAAATCAAACACAAGGAGCATATGATCATCTCTATAGATGCTGAAAAAGCATTTGATAAAATTCAATATTCATTCGTGACAAAGACCCTCTATAAGTTAGATACAGATGGAAAGTATCTCAACATAATTAAAGCCATATATGATAAACCCACTGCCAATATCATCCTGAATGGAACAGAACCAGAACAGGAACCAGATAAGGATGCCCTCTCTCACCACTCATATTACACATAGTGTTGGAAGTCCTAGCCAGAGCAATCAGAGAAGAGAAGGAAATAAAGGGCATCCGGATTGGAAATGATGAAGTCAAACTGTCCCTGTTTGCAGATGACATGATCCTATATATTGAAGAGCCTAAAGCCTCTACAAAAAAAAAAAAAAAAAAACTCTTGGAGTTGATTAACGATTTCAGCACAGTAGCAGGATACAAAGTGAACACACAAAAATCAGTAGCATTTCTATTCTCCAATACCGAACATGCAGAAAGAGAATCAAGAAAGCCTGCCCATTTACAATAGCCACCAAAAACATAAAATACTTAGGAACTGAGTTAACCAAGGATGTGAAAAATCGCTATAGTGAGAACTACAAACCACTGCTGAGAGGAATTAGAGAGGACACAAGAAGATGGAAAGATATCCCATGCTCTTGGATTGGAAGAATCAATATAGTGAAAATGTCCATACTACCCAAAGTGATATACAAATTCAATGCAATACCCATCAGAATTCCAATGACATTTTTCTCAGAAATGGAAAGAACTATCTAGACATTTATATGGAATAATAAAAGACCACGCATAGTCAAAGCAATGCTGAGCAATAAATAAATAAATAAATAAATAAATAAAGCTGGAGGCATAACACTATCTGACTTTAAACTGTACTACAAAGCCATAATAACCAAAACAGTATGATATTGGCATAAGAACAGACACTCTGATCGATCGAATAGAAAAGAGAATCCAGAAATCAACCCACACACCTATGGCCATCTGATCTTTGACAAAGGCACCAAGCCTATACACTGGGGAAGAGACTGCCTCTTCAGCAAATGGTGCTGGCATAACTGGATATCAATATGCAGGAGAATGAAACTAGACCCATACCTCTCACCATATACTAAAATCAACTCAAAATGGATTAAGGATTTAAATATACACCCTGAAACAATAAAACTTCTTAAAGAAAACATAGGAGAAACACTTCAGGAAATAGGACTGGACACAGACTTCATGAATACGACCCCAAAAGCATGGGCAACCAAAGGAATAATAAAATGGGATTATATCAAACTAAAAAGCTTCTGCACAGCAAAAGAAACAATTAACATAGTTAAAAGACAACCAACAGAGTGGGAAAATATATTTGCACAAGATACATCTGACAAAGGATTAATATCCAGAATATACAAGGAACTCAAATAACTTTACAAGAAAAAAACAAGCAAC